GTGGAAGGAAAAAAACAAAACTAGTTGATAAGATGGTTCACTGGGAGTCTTGTTTATTTTAGAATGTCACTTTAAAAAAAAAGGTACTTCATTCTCATGGTCCTAATTTCAAATGGTAAAAATATGTATAGCTTTTTCCACACCTATCCTGTGGCCACTTAATGTCTGTCCCCAAAGACAACCAATATTCTTTCTTGCATATTTTTCCAGAAATATTTTAGGGATACTTATGTAAATTGTATTTGTATGTGTGATTTTCTCAGTTTTCCCACACAACAGATGCATATTATAACATGGTAACCAATGTAGTAGACTGGGTAAGAATAGAGATTCTAAAGCCAAGCTTTTAAAATTCAAATCCTTGCTGTAGCACATATTACCTGCATGGCCCTCAAATAAATTTCTTAACTGCTACCTGCCTAAGTTTTTCTCATCTACAAAATGGAGATATCCACTAGTTATTACAAAGGTTAAATGATATATTATTTGTAAATCTCTTAAAACTGTATATGGAACATAGTAAGAAGCATGAATTCACTTGTTAAATGAATAGTAGAATAAAAGAAAGAGAGAAAGGTAAAGAGGGAAGAAGGTACTATCCAGCTGTATTTTGCTTTTTTTTAACCTCAGAAGGCTTATGTGCACGTGAGAGAGAAAGTATAAGCGTACCCCCCCAGTGAGGCCTGATCCTACCACCATCCTTTTTCCTCCATTTCTGCTCTGTCAGAATCCTGGGAAGGTGCACATCCCTGAAGTGTTTTTCAAGTAGCCAGGGCTGGGATTGGAAGCCACGGCAGGTCACGTGGGATCCGGCTCTCTCTGTACAGTGCTTCACATCTACCCCACAGCACCCACAGCACCAGATCTACTTTGCTGCGTTTTAACACAATGCCTTGGAGCTTATTCCTCATTCTTTTATAGCTGTGTGGAGTTTTATTGTGTGGATATAGCACTGGGTATTTACCAGTGCCCTGGTGATAGCGTGATTGTTTATTCCCTTACTACAACAGACCACTCTGCCATGAATAGCCCTGTGTATAGTCATTTTGCACATGTGTGAATATGTCTGCAGGATACATTCATAAGAGTGGAATTGCTGGGTCAATAAGTGTGTGCATTTGTAATATTGATAGCTATAGACACATTGCCTTTGTGGAGTTACTACATGTTTACTCTTAACCAACAATGTAGGAAAAGGCCTGTTCCCTAAACTCATGAAAATGGTGCTAATAAACTTTGATCTTGGCCCAAGTAGTAAATACTAAAAGTTTCTCAATGCAGTTTTAATTTGCTTTTCTCTTTATGATGAGGGAAGGAAAGCATCTTTTCATGTGTTTCAAAGCGCCTTCTATTTCCTTGTCTGTGAACTGTCTGTTTATTTGCTTTAGTATTTTTCTAATTGGTTATTATTTATTAATTCCTTACTGATTTATTATTTATTCCTTATTGATTTGGACCTTTCTACATTTTAAGGAAATTTGTTGTTTATGATTTGAGTTACTATTACTCCCCCAATATTTCATTTGTCTTTTCATTTTACTTACATAATGACTTTACTAGACAGAGTTGTGTGTGTGTGTGTGTGTGTGTGTGTGTGTGTTTAGTAGTCTCATTTATCAATCTTTTCTGTAATGGCTTCTGAGTGTTGTGTCATAGAATAGTCTTCCCAATGTTTACGTGATTAAAGAAATCTCTCAAGGTTCTAAGTGTCTTCCATCCCTGCAACATTTAATTTTAGATCCCCTTGGAATTGATCCTGATAAGCATGTGAATGATAGAATTGTCTTAAGTTCTAAGACCCCCTGGAGCTCATCCCACCTAGGAGGAACAGACCTCATTTCCTCTCTGTCTGAGTCTTATCCTCCCTCCCCACGCTCTTCAGATTTTTGCTTGTGGCTTTATTCCCAAATTTCACCAACACAGTCCACATGACTTCATCATACCTAAATCTGGGGGCTTTAAACAAAAATTTATACACTTATTCTAAGAGTCACAGAGCCAGAAACAGCACCCCTGACAGGGTCTTGATGCTATACCCACTCCCAGTTTCAGCCAGCTCCTATCACGGCCACATACATAGACTGCATACTCAGGAAAGTCTCTAGACATGAAATGGGAACCCGTGTAGGTCAGCTTTACAAAGCATCGTGATTTACCAGGGTGCCATTGTCTGGACCCGAGGAGGCATTTTCTTTAAGTTGCTTGGTGGTCTGTGGGGTACTCAATCACTACTCCTTCCAGTGCAGTTCTCAGTCTTCCCCGGGACCACTGCCAGTTTTCTCTGAGCTTCCTCCTTATCCTTTAGTCAGAAAACTTGTCTTCAGAATGGAAGTCAAGAAATAGATCCATGGCCAGGTGCAAACTGCTGATCCTCATGGCTGGCATACAGGAATG